ATGAAGGAAGACTCTACCACAGGGTAGTACTCTTGAGAGACCCAGGAACCTTTGGGATGGAGTCTGCCACGTTGAAAATATTCGACTGGATGACTCCATTCCATTTCAAAACCCGCCATTTTAAAAAGCCTCAAGTGTTTTTCTTCCCCCTCCCACACCTACTTTTGAACATTTTTTTGCCTCAGCACGACAATCTACAAGCTACAAAAAAATGCATGCATCCAGCTGAAAAAAAATAAAAGTTAATTTCATGAGCCCACACAGTCAAGCAAGTGAGAAACTCAGACAGGTCTACAAACAAGAAACAGACAGGTGGTGACCCAAAGAACTCAGCCTTTGCATGACTGGAGTGGATTTGCAACATTTACAGTACGACCGAATAACTTAAGGTGAAAGTCAATTATTCAAATATATTTGACCCAATATGCCAATATAGTTTGGCAAGGCAAGGCAATGCAATGCAGCCTTACTGATGTAGCGCACAAGGTAACTCAAATGTGCTCCACATAGTTACAAAACAACAATTAAAGGCAATATAATTGAAAACATTTGAAAAACAAGAATTTAAGATATTGAAAACCAAAGTAGAGAAATCAGAAGAAGATGACTAAAATTACAAGAGCAATGTACAGCGCCGGAAAATGACTTTGAAGAATTGATGATTGAAATGTTCAAAAAGGACATTGAGCATCGGTATGGGGGGGAAGTATAGTCTTCGCTTGGATTAAAAAGCAATTACACTTGTTGACATCTTATAGCATTGGTGTGCAGCACCACAGCTAAATGCTGAGTCACCATGTTTGCTCTGAATTCTGGGCTCCGCTAAGTGATCCAAGTCTGCTGACCTCAGAACCTTGCTGGGTTTATATTCCATGAGCATTTCTTTAACGTATTTGGGACATAAGCCATTTATTGATTTTTCGACCACCGGCGCCATTCTAGAATTTATTTTAGAGCCAACTGAGAGTCAGCATCAAGTCATTCGGACTGGAGTTATGTGTTCTGATCTTTTTGTTCTTGTCAGAAGCCATTCTGAAAGCCATTCCGTGATTAAGGGCTATGTAAACTTGCAGCTGTCTGATGCTCTCTTGAGGGAGTCCAGTCAGAAGACCATGACAATAATCAAGTCTACGGGTGATAAAACCATGGATATGCTTCTCTTGGTCTGCTTGGAGCATGCAACCCTTCAATCTGGATTTGTTTTTCAGATGGTGAAAGGCCCTTTTTGATGTCAGGGATTTGATATGCAGAAAGACAGAGCAGAATCTATCAGCACACCAAAGTTTTGGACTTGGTCTTTAGTCTTTCAAGGTGTAAGAGTACAGTTCTTGTGATTTTCACTGTAATTTTTAGCGTACGTGCCAGTGCCTAGCGTTACTGGCTACAGTATTGTACGTGCAGGGAGAACACACATTCCCGGCCGATCCTCTCTGAAGGAGGCTACAATGAAATTGTATGCTACGTAATAAAGTTATTTGTTGTGGTGTCTTGGCTTATTTTCAATGAAAGAGAAAGAGCCAACCCTCACCGGGAAATGGATGTGAGATACAGATGCGCCCAGCATCCAAATCATCAGCTCTAAAACCACATTATGCAGATTCCTATGGAGGGACAGACCGAACACATCAGGCGGCCCCTCAGGCTAGGTTCAAAGGCCCGGAACCCCATTCTGCTCTGAACTCATCACCATTCGTTTCACAGAAGCTGTGCAAAACACTGCACATTATCACCAGAGATTCAAACCTCTCTATACTGCAGTCATTACATTTTAATATGCACCTCCATCTGCCCTCTAGTCTGCCAATTGTACTGCCAACAACTGCGTTGGCGATGCTGGTTTTCTGCTTGTACAAAGGCTGCCGGTGTGCACATTGTCCACTGCCCGGAAAAGGCTTCATTCAACAGTTTTGCAACGGGTAGGCAGCGCAGCCAAGGACATCATAAAGTAGCACCGTGTCCATAAATGTTTTGGGTTTCGCTTGTGAGAAGGAAACCTCTGTTTACAAGACCCCATAATCCGGACAAGTGTAGCAATCTAGCATCTTGCAGGAACCGCTACAATAAAAAGAATCTTAAATCTCTTCCCTCCTCCACGGCCTGCAGGAAAATAGAATGCCAGCCTTGTTTGTTAGGGTTTGTGTTTTTTTTTTTTTGTTTTTTAATTAAAATATTCTGTGGGGATTTGTCTGGACCAAGAATGAAAATGTGGGATCCATCAATTGTACTCACACACTGCGGCAACCCCCAGTGTTCAAAATATAACATGATTTCATCGAGCTCCTCGCTGCTAGGTGACCGTATGATGTCGGCCGTTAGCACACACTCAGCAGTCGTTCAAAAGTCCCATACTCGGTGACACAGTGGTAATGCCGAGCCCAAACTTATTCGAGGCGCCCCTGCTGCTAGGCAGCTTCCACAGTCTTTGGTTACTGTTTTTGGCATGGATAAAAAACATTTTCTAGTTTGGCTTCAAGTCAACTTTAGCAGATATTATGTGTGCCCTCATTGAAATTGTGTATTCACAATGTCTTGTTGCACACGGCATGCCTCAATGGGTAGGATGTGCGACTCTGAAAAACACAAATAGTCTCCAATATTTGTTGATGGAGTTCACAAAAATAATTACAAACTAATGTGATTCAGATGAGTTGGATTCTAGCCAGCCTGATTCGCTCTTATCCATTTCCGTGTCAATCTGTGGATTTTTTTTTTCCAAATCTGCGACCATTTTGGTCATCTTGGATGGATCTCAATGGTTGAATGACGATCCAAATTGTTACAGTAAGCAACTGTCTTATTACACTATAAGTGTACATTTCTTTCACCGTAACTGTATTTGGACATTCATTTTGCGCTTTTTAAAAATTTATTTGAATCTTTTTTTTTTTTGGCTGTTAGCGACCCTGTGCATCCTAGCCTACCTTTCTGACAAGAATCTAGGCATTGTGTGTTAAAAGGACCCTTAAATGGGCAGAACATTGGCACGCTAGGTCTGTCGATGAAAATGATGTCAGCGCTAAAATTCACCTTCCCAGGAAAACTCACTGATGATTTAATGGGTTTTTTTTCGACTACATTCAGCGCATCTTAATGACGCTCATTCTTTATGGGCAGGGACTGTTTTTTTCCCCACACAACAGCCTATGTCATTGAAGGAAAGAGGCGTTCTGATATTATTTCCTGGCTTTCATTGTCACATCTTATTGTTACCTAGTGGCTGAAAATGGTCAACAATTGTCACCAAAATTCATAGGCACAGCCATCCGCATGTCCACAATAACAGGCATGGGGCCGACCCTGCAGCCAAGTGTGACCGCTGAGGGTGTATGGTGTATCGGTTTTGGATGGGCGGTAGCAAATGTACCCTCTGGAGTTGGACTTGGGAAAAAAAAATCAGTCAAGCTAACTCTGATGGATTGAAATTTAATATATGACGACCTCCGAAGCATTGAACTGATGAAAAGCCTCTCAGAATGCACTGTGTTCATATCTTGGGGACCTCCCAAAGAAAAAGAGATCTGGCAGTCGAGAAATTGCAGGTAAGATGCTAATTTCTTCATCCTTTAATATAAGTGAATGTAATCATTGTGATATTTTCAGTAATAGAGAATTTTGGTGCCAATTGATCTGCGTTTTTGGTCATTCCAAGTGATGTGTGTACAGGGTGTCCATAAAATCTCTTTACCATTTCAAAAATGTATTAAAAATGCAATTGATTAGATATTTATTCAGATTTGTTTCATTGTATTCAGCGTTTATTAAAGTTTTTTTTTGTTGCCTCTTTGAAGAAATTGTGCCCCAGGGGGCGGGGTGCACAATGGCATTTTAAGAATAGTTGACTGATTTTTCCAAAACAATTTGATAAAAATCGAAAAGCCAAGTTACTATCATTTTCCTGATATATATATA